AGCCGGGAGAGGAAGCCGATCCGAGGCTGCGAAGTCGTGTCCCGTGTGGGGAATGTGGGCACGACTTACTCAGCAAACTCCGTTGTCAGAATTAAGGGGCCCACCGAAGCCAGAGGAAGGGAATTTGGAACATAAAAGACCGGCCTGTTTCTCCTGGCAGAGAGGCAGCAGATGGCTCTCATTACCTGGAGGAGCGGGAGGCTCAGAATAGAAATACGCGTGAGAGCCGTGGAGGCAAACTCCGGAACCAGGGCGCGCGAATGGACTCGCGGGCACAGGAAGATCGGGGCGGCGTGGGCTCCGGAGGCAGGCCCCTAAGACAGTTTGTGGGTTCCGGCATCCTCTGGGCTTGGTTTTGAATCACGGCACCAACCTACTCACTCTGTGACCTCAGTCATGTTCCTCTCTTCTGGGTGCCTCAGTTTCCTCATCTATACAATGGGCATAATAATATTATTAGTGCTACATAATGCATATTGGAGCATGTATGTATACTGTGTTATATAATAGGGTAGTATCAAGGATCCAGTGGGATAGGGTAACATGCTTAGTACAAAGCCTCTTATTATATAAATCTTTATAAATATCAGCACGCCCCCAAAAGCTGTCATCCCGCACAAGGTGGGTGTTATCACACCCATTTATCAGATGAAGAAACGGAAGCTCAGAGAAACCAGGCGTAGGCTGTTTCCACTGCCGTCATTCACACAGTGGATATTCCTGAGCGCCAACCGCCTGACCAGTACTACCGACAGGGAGCTCATATGCATCCCTGGGAGAAAAGACAGGTAACAATATAACTTGATACAGACAGGTAGGAGGGCCCAGACAAATGCAGCCCCGGGGAGGTGGAGAGGAACTCTGTTTGCTCAGGAGTGGGCAATCCAGGCAGCCTGCCTGGCGGAGGCGGCATCTGAGTGTAGAGCCTGTAGACTGCTATGTATCTACTGATTCTAGTCCACTGGTCTCTCGTGCCACATCCGCTCTGAGCTAAGTCCTTGAATTATCTCATATAATCTTCTCAATGGTCTGGTGGCATGGGCTCACAGGTAGGCTTTGAAAGATGGCCAGAGGAATGCCATGTGGACAAAAAAGGAAGAGTGGTCCAAGCAGAGGTAAGAGCCTGGGCAAAGGCGTGGAGGCAGGAATCAAATCCTTGGTATCTGTCCACCTCCACCAGGCTCAGTATGGGGCAGGGCACCCAGTAGGCATTAATACTTATGCTGAAGGTGGGCAGCCCACAGTCCTGACCCCAGGCCTGGCAGAAGCCCCAGTGACCAGCCCTTGCATGGACTCACGGGGACCATCATACAGCCAATGGGGCCCCACTATCTCTGTGCCTAGCTTTTCAAAAACACAATTACTCGCCCTTCAGAGCCGCTGTCAGTGTTGGTAAACTCCAGCTACTAAACTGCATTACACTGATCTTGCCAGAAACCTTTGCAGTTATTAATAGTTTATTGATCGCAGCCCATTGCTGATGAGAGTCGGTCTCCTCACCCCAGCCCCTCGGGGCCCCGCTATCTGCGAAGGCCTTCTATTCTGCATGCAGATCAATGCCACTCAAGTCTGGGGAGAGGGGGTCTCTGGGCCGTTTAATCCACTTTAGAAGTATAACACTGAAGGCCCGGGCTCAGAGGAGAGGCAGACCGGCCCAGACCAAAGCTGCGACTTGGAAGCTGCTGGATCTGAAGATAGGAACTAGAATGGGCCTTGGGTGGGGAGGGGCTGCACCCGGTTTTCAGCACAGGGAGAGACAGGGTTCTCCATGCTCACGCTGCAGCCGCCACTCACCCATTTAATAAATATTGATCGAGGAACTACCGTGATGGTGAGCACTGGGAGGCCCAGGCACACTGGTGGACCAGACGGGTGCAGACCCTGCCTTCGTGGAGCTTCCTGAGCGTGGCCTGGGGAGGGGAATATTCAAGAGTCACAACATATGTGATAAAGTTACAGTTTAGACTAAGGAGAGGTGTGAGAGGATCTGCTGTATCGGTTAGCTATTGCCGCATAACAAGCAATCCCAAACCTGGATGGTTTAAAGCAGCAAGCAGGTGTTATTCCTGAGTGTGGCCTCGGCTGGAAGAGCTGAGGCCTCTCTGCATGTGCTGTCATCTTCCGTCAGAGGCTTGTTCTCCGGAGAAAGTGGTGGGATTTGTTCTTTTGAGACTTAGGCTTGGAATTTTCACATCATGATTTCCACCACGTACTGTTGGTCAAAGCAAGTGACAGGGCCAAGCGTGGGAAAGAGACTCCACCCCTAGACAGGATGTGGTCACTGGCTGTATCTGGGGAGTAGAGAAGTGGGAGATATGAAGGAAGGTGCCCAGGAGTGAGACTTGGACCATTTGCGGAGCTAGGGAAGCTGGGAGAGGGAACATCTGAGGTGGGAGAAATAGTCCTGAGATGCTGCCTTCTTCGTACAGCACAAATCCAGGTGTTCCCTGAGCTGTCTTCTGTACCATCTGTGATGTGTCACCTATATGTGTCACCCAAACATATTGCTTATGTTACTGTCACCTGAGCATGTCATCAGCGTAGCAATTGCCTAAACATGTCCCCTATGTTGCTATCACATAAACGCATCTGCGTGCATCACCTATGTGGCGGATACCTGAACATTTCCACCTGAGTGTCAACCCTGTCATTATGATCTTATTACATCACCTGGGTAGCTTCCAGCTACACATGTCCCCTGAGCCTGCTTCTGTACCGAGCAGGCACTGGAGCATGTCACCTGCACAGCTGTCACCTACACAAGTCACTTAAGGAGGTAGCCTCTATAACTGACACCTATGAATGTTGCCTAAACATGTCGCTTGAGGTTACCGTCATTGTCAACAGTGCCCAGTCGGGAGGCTATTTTTTTTTTAGTCTAGCTGAGTTACAAACAAAGAAAATACTCCCTGAGGGGAGATGGTTCCCTGCTGTTCGCATTGTCACTGCTCTTCCCAGAGCCCCCAACCCAGAGGGAGAGGGAGGGAGCGTCTTCCCGAAAAGTTTCCCTGATGAAAAGCTCCCCGTTCTTGAAGTCTTTCATGACAGTCGGCGGAGCAGATGTCAACCTCTGTATGTTCTATGTAAATGAAGGTATTTGTTTATGCTAATGCGTGCGGCGTGGGAAGGAAGGGGAGTTTCAGAGGGGCTGGCTCCGCTCAATGAGGCAACGAGATGAAAACGCAGGCTGGGGGCCCAGGTGTGGGGGTGGCG